GGGCAACTTGGCGAGACCTCATCTCTACAATAAATAAATAAATAAATAAATAAATTAGCCGGGCGTGGTAGGGCACGCCTGTAGTTCCAGCTACTTGGAAGGCTGAGGCAGAAGAATCGCCGGAGCCCAGTAGGCCGAGGCTGCGGTGGCTGGGAGCGGCCACTGCACTCCAGTATGGACGACGGAGTGAGACTCCAACTCAAAAAAAAAAAAAAAAAAAAAATTAGCCGGGCGTGGTAGAGTGTGCCTGCAGTTCCAGCTTCTTGGAAGGCTGAGGCCGAAGGATCGCTGGAGCCCAGCACGTCAAGGCTACGGTGGCCGGGAGCGTGCTACTGCGCTCCAGTCTGGGCAACAGAGTGAGATTCCAACAAAAAAAAAAAAAAAAATAGTGAGAGCCTCCTTATTTACAGTCTTCCATCTCAGTAATGACCCACATCTCCTATGGTCTATGTGTATCACCATGCATCAGCAAATTTGCCCAAGATAAGGGAGCTCAAGACCCAAGATAAGATGGAGGGAAAAAGCCACCAGGACCATAGAACCACATCAGGACAGGAAAACAAAGAGGGCACAGGCCTGGGCAGAGGAAAGGGTGTCTGCTTGCTTTCCTGGCCTGGCCCGGGTCCAGTGCTGGGATAAAACGGGCAGCAGACAGACCTGAGCAGAACCAGGCTGCTCTTAAATGCCTTTTCTAGCTTTTGCTAAAAAATTTTATTATAAAAGAAAAACATGTTTATTTTAGAATTTTTTCTAAATTTTCTAAAATATTAAACATTCCTCATAATTCCAACAGATAAAACCCACCACTACTAACATTCTGGCAAGTTTCTAGTTTTTTTTTTTTCTATGCATATATATTTAACATACAGTTAAATGCTACATATAGTTATTTGGGAAAATTTAACCTATTATTATTATTCAAGAAATACATTTTTTTTAAGTTAATTACATTTTTTTTTTGAGTTGAAGTCTCATTCTGTCTCCCAGGATTGCAGTGGCACGCTCACAGCCACTGCAACCTCGACCTGCTGACTCAGGCGATCCTTCCACCTCAGCCTTCCAAGTAACCAGAACTACAGGCAC